CAGTATAAATGCCTAGAAAGAAAAAAATGGAGAATGTTAGGTTAGAGAATATTGGGGAGCTTCAGCGGAGGATGAGGATGAGAGTGGGAGTAGGAATTTTGGTAGTCGTGAAAAGATCTGAGTGTGGCAAAAGCTGCCAAGTGAAAGATGAGGAAGGACCAGTCATGTGAAGATTCATGAGGGGACATTCTGGAACCATCGGATCATCATTTCACTCTAATGTTCCAGAGTGACTAGTTAGAAGACCCACTCCATCATCATAATCATTGTTGTGTGTGTAGAAAAGAAAATGTGCATACCTGAGATAAGTGCTGGCAATACTTTTAGGTATAGTAAATAAATGTTCTTATAATTTGCCTTTAAAAGCTTACAACACTTTTTGAAGAGTTTCATAAATTTTACATCTAAAATTTTTTTTACTATTAGTTAACCATAATTTGAAGAAAAGTTACTTTGCTATCTGATCCAACCCTTCTTTTTTTCCATCAAAAAAAAATTTCAAGCCTTTGTTTACCTAAATGAAGCAGCAGCTAACAGTGCTCTTTTGTTTTATACTCAACATGATATACTCCCAAGTTTCTTAGTCATATGAGATATCGAATTAACACTAAAACAAATGTGGGCCATTCTATTAGAAGTAGTTTAAATTTATAGCAAGTATACTTTTAAAGAATTTGTTTAAAATTTTTTTTATCGTTTATTTATTTTGAAAGACAGAGAGAGCATGTGAGGAGGAAGGGCAGAGAGAGAGGGAGACAGAATGAGGCTCCAGGCTCTGAGCTGTCAGCACAGAGCCTGACGTGGGGCTCGGCCCACTCCATTGTGAGATTCCATGACCTGAGCTGAAGTCAGACGCTTAACCGACTGAGCCACCCATGCCTCCTAAAGAATTTATTTAAAGAATTTATTTTAAATGTCCTTTATTTGATCGGAAATGCAAAGTAAGGTGTTTTCATAGTTCCTTTTGAAATGCATATGTCAGTCTTCTGTCTATGAAAGTATTCTGGCCTTCCATGTCTGTAGTGTACAGAGTTTAATAAAATGAAGATTAAAAGGCCACTTAATCAAGAGAGCATATATGAGGTTTCATTTAAATGTTTTGGTTTTCAATATGTTTTTCTTATTTGTAAGTCTGATTGTTATTAAAATCGGAAATTCAGATATTTTCTAGAAAAGGATTAGGGAAATCTTTAAGCACAACTCATTATTGATGCCACCTTGCAGAGTATGTCTGAGAGTCCAAACAAATATGTTCCTCATTTGTTTTTCGTGGATCAGAAAGGTACATATTAAATGGACAGAAGGTAAGAACTGTATTTTACTAAGAGGTCAGACAGAATGTTGATTTAAAACAGGAATAATTGATATATTCTTAACATTCAAAGAAATCACCTATTAAAATGCATAGTAAAAGAGAAAAGAGATGAAAAGGAGATAAGTTGTATCTATGTGGTGTCAGCAAAACAGATTAAATTGAGAGGCCACCAAAGGAAATGACTAGTCTCCTTTCAAGATACTGTAAGACCCAAGGAACCTCAGGGAAATAAGAAAAGACAAAGAGGAGTCAGATGAGAACAGTGGAGACTATAAATAAAGGAAAGTAAGTGGGTGTTTAGGGAGGTTTCTACCTGGAAGGTGTAAATACACTCAGGTTTCTTTAAAAGGAATAGCAGGCTATTTGAAATGTGGTGAACACTGTAAGTGAGCCCAGTACCAGAATTTGTCAGAGTATGTAATACCGTACCTTCACTCTTACTGTTATCCTCTTGTTGGGAAGACATTATGACTGACAGCTGATGATGCAGAGTTATGTCCTATCTACCATGGATGAACTTATTTATTTATAGTCAGCTTGGTATAAATGTACATACTCTTTAATGCCATATCAAATTGAGGTACTTTACAAGAGAGTTATTTAGTGCAAAATAAGAGAATTGGAAAAGAGGGTCAGTTAGGAAGACATCAAGCAGGCCCTTGATAAAAGTTCCATTAGAAAGTTTATGACTTTTAGGGCTTGGTGTCTAGTTGGCTGAGTGTCCCACTTCAGCTCAGGTCATGCCCAGTGATTCAAGTCTCAGCTTGCCAGGCTCTGTGCTGACATTCAGAGCCTGGAAGCCTGCTTCAGATTCTGTGTTTGTTCCCTCTGCCTCTCCCCCCGGCCATACTCTGTCTCTATCTGTAGTCAAAGATATACATTAAAACAAAGTTGGAGGCACCTGAGTGGCTTGGTCGGTTGAGCTGGCCGGCCTCTGGGCTCAGGTATGATCTCTAGTTGTGGGTTCAAGGAGTTTGCTCACATCAGGCCTCTGTGCTGACAGCTCTGAGCCTGAGCCTGCTTCAGATTCTGATGTCCTCACCCCCCCTCTCTGCCCTCCCCTGCTTGCCCCTGCTTTGTCTCCTGTCTTCACAGAATAAACATTTTGGGGAGCTGATAGTGGTATGAGGGTATAGATGTAAGATACTCATGCTAAACAAAGGGGAAAAATGTGGTAGAGATAATCCATAACAAGAATATAAAAGTGGAACATTCAAGACCATAGATCCAGAAATTACTGTTGAGAAGGAGGACTAGTGAAGGGAAAGAGAGAGGAATGCATGGTGTGTTAGCTAGGAAACTTTGGAGTTGAGGAGGAAACTCGAGAGAATTCACATTAGATGGCTGGAGTACATGTGCACTAAGTCAGAAGATTAGATCACAGCTACTCCAAAGAATACTAAAAGCAAGTGGAGTGCTAGAATTGGGGTAAAACCTAGCCACTCATTTATCCTCCTCAGATCTCTTAGACATCAAAGATACATGTTGCATTGGTATTCATTATTCAAATGAGATTAATTTGAATATGGAAGCATTGGCTGTTATTTTTTTAAGACAGCTAATTTATTATATGATAGCTATTTTTAAAAATTTTTTAATGTTTATTTGAGCGTGAGACAGAGGGCAAGCAGGGGAGGGGCAGAGAGAGGGAGGGAGACACAGAATCTGAAGCAGGCTCCAGGCTCTGAGCTGTCAGCACAGAGCCCAGTGCAGGGCTTGAACCCACAAACTATGAGATCATAACCTGAGTTGAAGTTGGATGCTCCACCGACTGAGTCACCTAGGTACCCCATGATATGATAGCTATTTTGTAAAAGCCTTTTTTAAAGGCTTATATGATCTACCAAATCAAACTAATTTTGGAAACAAAAGAAGTGATAGGGTTAATTCCCTAAATGCTAAAATGGTTATTTTCCATAAATATGATGCTGATTTTGAAATAGAAAAGATTTTTGGTATCTAAAAATTTTGTGGCAATTAATTTCATTTTTCCCTTTTGGTAATCATATTTCCATATTAAAAGCTTATTATACATTATTTCTTAGGTGTGTTTTACATACCTTCTTGCATGAGTGGATCAAGAAACTTTAAGATGGCTAAACTAGAGGATACAAGAAATGTAGGCATACCAGTAACCCACATGGGTATGAACAAAAATGAATACTTTTATTAACTGTTATTCTACAAGTATATATCCAAGCTGATCAATTCAGTACACTTGCTCTGATGAGAAAGAAATTATGCATTCAACTGAACCGTCATCACAACTGTGTACTGACTAAATTACAGGACAAATTGAAGAACATGGTAAATACTTGTAGTATAATGGTATAAATGATTTTGCTGTACTGCACATTAAGGGTATGCTGTTGCATTCTGCCATCGGCTTTCACATTTATCCTCTCAGGGTCATGAATTGTTCCTGTAATTCAAGATTGCTTTTCTTTACATCAGTCAGCATGTTCACATTGGTACATGTGCACTTTTCTATTTTAGTTAGTCATTTGAAACATAATCTTAACTTTTGACATCCTAACTGCATGTTCTGTGGAGCCTATATTCCTATTTTTTCTTCAGTATGTATAATGCGTTCATTTTTCTGTCTTGTCACTGTCTTAACCCACCTGCCTGTCCCCCCAAAAATAAAACACCAAAACCTAATGTAATCATTTTCAAAGCGAAGCATGAGGATTCAGCTCAGTACTAACTGCATGAATGTATAGTTGGCTTTCATATTTACATATAATTGACTATTTGTCCCTTTTGCTTTTTAGATCCTCCTGACAAATATCCTCACTTGAAGGTAAAACTTCTATATTTTTATCCTGAATTTTTAACTACAGACTGTGTGAGATGTACATTATGTCTTAATCATATTGTTTTAATACCCATTCAGCCTACCGTTGAAGTGGAAGATTCTTTTTCTGATAAAACAGTAGGAATGAAGGATATACAGACATCCAGATCAGGTAAATTTTACAATACAAATTTAACAGTGGAAAGAAGTACACTAAAATATTTGAAATGCTCTTATTCCTCATTTTTTTTGGTGGCACATTTAGTTGAAGGATTTGACATAAATAAGGTAGATGTCATTGTTGGTATCCATGTTTGAAGAAAAGATATTTACAAGCATAGGAAAAAGATTTAAAAAATATAAGCTTTAGTTCATGTTTCTTGTTTTATTTTGGAATCCTAAATATTCCTAATATTAATTATTAGACTCTTAGATTTTTCCATTGTTCAAAATGCTTATTTGAATTCTGACCTTTACCTAGAGTAAAGCTTCACTTGTTAACATGTCCATTGTGTTTTAACTTGATTTCATGTTATCTAAATAACAGTTTAAGCCAAATATGTTCTGCTTAGCAGACTGTGTGTATTTGTGTATGTGTGTATGTATGTATGATGTCTTTGATTATTAAAAATGGGGGAAGTAATTATTTTTTATATTTAGTAGATACAATCTTTTAAAACAGTAATTCTGAAGCTTTTTGGCTTTATAGTCCTTTTATATCATTTAAAAATTATTGGGAATTCCAAAGAACTTCTGTTTAAGTGGGTTGCATATGTTGGTATTTACAATATTAGAAACATTTAAAATACAGGTATACACAGTCATATATTCTGTTAGCCATTAGACCTATGACCCACAGTTGTGATACTATTGCATATCATATCTTTAGAAGACTCCATTGTACACTTAATATGAAAATGAGAATGAAAATGTCAAATAATATTTAGTATTATTGTGAAAATAGTTTTGACCTCTTGGACTGCCTGAATGGATGGATCTGGGACTCCAGGGATTTTCAGATGACACTGGAGAACTGTTTTAAACCATATACAGGGTTCATGGATGTGAAATGATAAAGGGGCCTTTGTGATGAAATGGACATTTAAGTTCCACTTCTGCATTTTCTTTCTTTCACTTGTCTTAAGAGGTTTAAATCAGACAATCTTGCTTTTTTTAAAAAAATATATATTTTTGTTACATATTCATTTTCTGTCTCATGGCACTATTTTTTGGATCTAGTGTAGACTGAGACTTATCCTGTTTTTACATGGCAACAATTATGTCACTCAAGGCTTTTGTTTCCATATAAATTTATGTTTAGCCAGGCTTAAAAATTGAATTCTGATGATATTGGTACATTGAGGAAAGACCATTTCATTGTGATTAAAGTAGTACCATTCATTAAAAGTTTTTTTAAAAACCCATGTCTTGGGGCGCCTGGGTGGCTCAGTTGGCTAAGCGTCCGACTTCGGCTCAGGTCACGATCTCACAGCCCGTGAGTTCGAGCCCCGCGTCAGGCTCTGGGCTGATGGCTCAGAGCCTGGAGCCTGCTTCCGATTCTGTGTCTCCCTCTCTCTCTGCCCCTCCCCTGTTCATGCTCTGTCTCTCTCTGTCTCAAAAATAAATAAACGTTAAAAAAAAAAAAATTTAAAAACCCATGTCTTTAGAACACACAGTGCATATTTAAACATAAAATAAATGGTTAGACATAGATTTTGTTACTAAAATATTCATAACCTTGAGCAGTCTTAATTATTAATAAATAAAGCTTTTATGAGATACAGAATATGTAATAGAGTTGCTTGAATGAATCGAAGTATATAATGGTAGAGAATTAAAAAGAAAAAATGAGAGACTAGTTAAATTTATCTATGTGAATGTCAAATATAGGACATGTAAAATACAATAAGCTCTGAAGGGGTAGTAGTGTGTTTGGAGGGAGAGGAGGATATGGAACTGCTTCTCTGAGGAAAGAATTGATACAAATTAGTCAAGTATGTATTACTATTTGCATTCTAATAAATGAAACTTTGTTTTCAGATTTTTCGGATTGGGAGTCTACTAGTTTGACCTTCGGTAATGAGACTTGTCAAACATCCAAGAATTTGAAGGTTGATGATAAATGCCCATTTGTATCACAACCAATGATCAAAAATCAGTCAGCATCCACAGATTCTGGACCGATAACCTTAGTAGATAAAGAAAAGATTAATATTGGAACTGTGCTGCTGTTAGGTAATTGTACACTCCATGACCTGAGTGAATCACAGTTACCAGAAAACAGAGAGAGCAAAGAAGGTAATGAAGCATAGAGAATTCAACCTCTTCGTGGCTTCACCATAGTTGTGGTTTTTCGAAAATAATTTTGTGGCAAAATTTAATTTGTGTTTATTCTTTTTTTTTTTTTTT